GAAAACCCAAATTATTTTATATGTACATATACACCTGTCTTTCCCACTTCTTTTTATCACAGACTACTTTCCCTTGTGCAACTAATATACCTCATTCTATTATTAAGAGAGTAGAAAGTTTACATATGGTGTTTACAAGCATTTTTATCTTCTCAAAACAGAACTGTTACTGAGTGGTATACAAATAAGATACTAACAAATAAAAGCATATCTGCCAGCAAGTCACCATCTATCAATTGCAGGGTTAGTATGACATCCATTGTGAAAATCTAGAGATAAACGACAGAAACACATCATGAACGGAGACAGTCTAAAAGAAAGTTACAAAGTAGAAATACAAAGGACTTCAGAGACAAACACCCCAAAAGACAAATTTTGGTTATGGAGAAACTTGTCAGTGAGAAACACTTGCTTTGCAAGTTGAGATACACCAGAAACAACATTCAGTTAATGAAAAATATTTCTTTTCTTTCTATTTCAGCTTGGGAAATAACAACAAAGAGGATGAACATGATTTTTGGTGTAAAAAAGACTCTTCATACATTGCTGGGTTCCATACAGACATAGGATTACACAGAAAATAAGTTTTTTAAACAGCTTTTTGACTAAGAGATAAAAAAATTAAAAAAAAAACCCAACCTGCTTTTAGTAATGAACAGCTTTGAGAAAAGTCACCCTGGCTGATAACAAGCATCTCCTTAAATTGCAAAAGTAATGAAGTCTGTTTTCTCATGAAATCCTGTCTCATACAAACTCATTGCTGCCCAGTGAGATGAGTATTCTGACTGAAACATTACCCACAGCTACGACATCCAAACCTCCCTCCTGTGCCCTTTCTTTCATGACCACAAACAGGCTAGCTCATGCTGAAACTTTTTCATCTGAGGCCAATAAAATTTTCCCTTCATATGGCCACTGACTTTCAATAAAATTCTAGCGACTGCCTTTTTTTGAAATCTCTACCCTGTAAACCACAAATTAGACCACAACTGGCTAACAGATACCAAGTTCACAGAGAGTGGGAATGAACAGACAAATACACTCTCTGAAATACAATACAGCAGAGAAAGAAACAGTCTAGGAGATTCCTGGACACAGCCGGTGAGTGGGCCAAGAGTCAAGGTGTCCCAGTCCTGTTTGTGAACAGAGAAGGGTAATGTGATGGTTGGAGGCCATCTAGGGCACAAGCAATTCCAGAAGGCAGATTTTGGCCTGTTTAGGAGACTGGTTAACACTGTCCCTGAGGAGGCAGTCCTGAAGGGCAAAGGCACCCAGGAAGGCTTGACACTCTTCAGGAAGAAAATCCTAAATGCACAGGTGCAGGCTGTCCCCACGTGACAAAAGAAGTTGATGGGAAAGATGACTGGCCTGGTTGAACAGAGAACTTTGGCTGGAACTCAATAAAAAACCTGAGAGATGCTTGGGTCACAACAATCCCAGGCAGTGCTACAGGACCGGGACAAAGTGATTGGAAAACTGCCCAGCAAGAAAGGACCTGGGGGTGCTGGTCAATGGATAGCTGAACATGAGCCATCAGTGTGCCCAGGTGATCTAGAAGACAGTGGCATTGTATCAGCAACAGTGTGGCCAGCAGGACCAGGCCAGGGGGCAAAATAGTCAGCACTGGTGTCACCACATCTCAAATCTTGTGTCCAGTTCTGGGTCCCTCACTACAAAAAAGACATTGAGGTGCTGGAGCTTGTCCAGAGAAGGGCAATGAAGCTGATGAAGTGTCTGGAGCACAGGTTTTATGAGGAGGACCTGAGACATCTGTGGTTGTTTGCCTGTAAAAAAAAGAAGGCTCAGGGTGGGGAGGGTGGGACGACACCTTAATGCTCTCTACAGCTACCTGAAAGGAGATTGGGGTCAGTCTCTTCTCCCTAGTAACAAGTGATATGACAAGAGGAAACTGCCTCAAGTTGTGCCAAGGCAGGTTTACACACAGTATTAGGAAAACTTTCTTCACTGAAAGGGTTGTCAAGTAGTGGAACAGGCTGTCCAGGGAAGTGGTGGAAATCACATTTAGATGTGGCACTTAGCAACACAGTTTAGTGGTACACTTGGCAGCACTGGGTTAACGGTCTGACTAGAGCTTAAAGGTCTTTTCCAGCCTAAATGATTCTATGACACATTTTCTGTGTTGGCATAAGACCACTTGTGCAAAGAACAGTGATTGGCAGGCCTTCTTTAGAAAACCAAAACCATCAATGTTCATTCTCTGGTAACTTTCCCCTCACCAAGTTACCAAGCTGTTTCATCTCTGCTACACGTTTCCACTAGTTCTCTGAATCTTGACGTCCTTACTAGACAGTGTGATGTACTGAAGAGCAAAAACAGATTTTCTTACTTTCCTGAGCTCAATTATGGCAGTTAACCTTTTATGCATTGTGGAGAGAACTGGACTTAAAATTTCTGAAAGCAGAAGAATATCCTGTGCCCTCACAACCTGAACAGCTGGTCTCTGAACACAGCTATTGTATGAAAGGAGGCACTGCTGCCACCCAACTTGGTCTTGCTCTGTAGTCTGCCATGGATGAATCTTCTGAGGACATTCAACCTGCTATCACCAACAGGGCATGCTCTATAAATGTCCACTTGGTCGAGACCCTCAGCAGACTTAGAAGGGATTATCCATTTTGGTTAACTGCAGTTCAACCAACTGCTGCTCAAACTTAGCATTCAGAAGGTTGCAGTACTTCTATGCATACTGAAAGGCAAAATTTCTTATACCTGGGAAAATTGTGTTGATTGGTCACTAGACAAGCAGCTCACTAGGTCTTGATAACCACATTTCAAAACAGGATGCAATAAAACCTAACCTACAATTAGCTTCAAAATGTGAGAGCTGATCTGCCTTGAATCTATATTTTAATACTATTAAATTCTAGTAATATTTTTCTAAGGCAGCTTTTTTACTGTAAC